CTACCTTTGAAGTTATGACCGATGCTAGTGATTATGCAGTGGGAGCAGTGCTGGGACAGAGGAAAGAAAAGAGGCTCCATGTCATCTATTATGCCAGCCGAACACTCGACGAATCTCAGTGCAGATATGCCACAACTGAAAAGGAGCTTCTTGCAATGGTTTATGCCTTTGAGAAGTTCAAGTCTTACCTTGTTGGGGCGAAATTTGTTGTTCATACAGACCATGCAGCGCTGAAATACCTGTTGACGAAGAAGGATGCCAAGCCAAGGCTCCTCAGATGGATCCTTTTGCTGCAAGAGTTTGATTTGGAGATTAAAGACAAAAAAGGGATTGATAATGGTGTTGCAGACGAAGATTGATGTTGACATTCCACTAGATTACAGCCTTCCTGATGAACAAGTTTACGCCATAGATGTTTCTGGGTTCGACGAGCACCTGCTCCCCACCGGAGCACCTGCTCCGACGAGTTTGTGCAACCAAGTTGACATAGATCGGCATTCTGGTTTCCTATGGTTTGGAGAGATTGCAAATTACCTTGCTGCAGAGCAGGAACCTGCAGGTTTTGTGGGAAACAAAAAGAAGAAGTTTCTGAAGGATGTGAGACACTACTTTTGGGATGAGCCTTATTTATACAGGCATTGCTCTGATGGAATCTTCAGAAGATTTCTAGCTGATGAGGAGATACCAGAAGTGTTGTTTCATTGCCATGGATCCTCTTATGCAGGCCACTTCGCCACTTTCAAGACTGTGTCGAAAATTCTCCAAGCTGGATATTGGTGGCCAACGATGTTCCGAGATGCAGCGAGTTTTATCTCCAGATGTGACACATGTCAGAGACAAGAAAACATCAGCAGGAGGAATGAGATGCCTCAGAATTTCATCTTGGAAGTGGAGATTTTCGATGTGTGGGGTATAGACTTCATGGGACCTTTTCCATCATCTTATGGAAATAAGTATATCCTGGTGGCAGTTGACTATGTGTCAAAGTGGGTGGAAGCTCTGGCCAGTTCCACAAATGACGCAAAGGTGGTTTTAAAGATGTTCAAATCTGTCATTTTTCCCAGGTTTGGTGTGCCGCGAGTGGTGATTAGCGATGAAGGCTCTCACTTCATCAACAAAGTCTTTGAAAACTTGTTGAAGAAGAATGGTGTAAGGCATAAGGTGGTGACCCCATACCATCCTCAGACGAGTGGGCAAGTTGAGGTTTCCAACAGGGAAATCAAGAACATTCTGCAAAAGACTGTGAGCACCACAAGGAAGGATTGGGCAGTGAAGCTTGATGATGCTCTTTGGGCATACAGAACAGCTTACAAAACACCTTTGGGGACTACACCATTCCACTTGGTGTATGGAAAAGCATGTTATCTTCCAGTGGAACTTGAGTACAAATCTGCTTGGGCAGTGAAGCTGCTGAATTTCGATGCAAAGAGTGCTCAGGAGAGGAGAGTAATGCAGTTACATGAGCTGGAAGAAATTAGGCACCTGGCCTATGAAAACTCGAAGATTTACAAAGAGAGGACAAAAGCTTTCCATGACAAGAGGATCCTCAACAGAAGCTTTGCACCAAACGATCAGGTATTGCTCTTTAACTCTAGATTGAAATTGTTTCCAGGGAAGCTGAGATCGAGATGGTCTGGACCATTCACCATCAAGGAGGTTCGACCATATGGGGCTGTAGTGTTGCTGGACACTAAAGGAGGCGAGTTTGTTGTCAATGGACAGAGGTTGAAACCATACCTTGCTGGTCCAAATATCGCAGAAGGTGAATCAGTCACCTTAAGCGATCCTCCTCAAGCCTAAATGGCTTTCCAAGTCAAGCTAATGACTTAAAACAAGCGCTTGGTGGGAGGCAACCCACCGGTAAGAGTCTCTAACTTTGTGTCTTTTATTCTTAGCTACTAACTTTGTTTTTAGATTCTTTGTTTCCAAAAAAAAAAAAAAAAACGAAACAGCTTGAAAAGTGAATAAGTTCGGGGGAGAGGAAAGGTACTTTTGTGTAGTATGGTCAATTTGTTAAGGTATAAGTATGGGAACGAGTCTAGAAGGTCCTTAGCACTAGTTTTATTGATGAGACTCAGCAATGATGGGACATGGATGATGTTATGAAATTGAGGGACTAATCTGGAAAGCTGCAGCGTCTACGGAGAAGTACATGGAGGTTAGATTTTTGATTGATTTTGCAGCAGATTGTCACATGTCTTGGTCAGGTTTACGGTCTTTTGAGTTTTGCGAGTTCCCAGCTTTATCCAGTCATTCTTTTGGAATTGAATTTGAGTTTGTTTGAGGACAAACAAGGATCCAAGTTCGGGGGAGTTGATGAGTGGAGATTTTGACTCATTCTAACCTGTGTTTACTAATTGTTTTTGGAGTCTTTGGAGTCTTTTTGAGGTGAATTCAGATGACTAGGAGGCTTTAGCAGAGGATTGGATTGTCTGGAAGGCATTGGAGCAAAAGGAGATGAATTGGAGCAACACGGAGCTATTTCACACGTTTTTGGAGAAATCATCCGCGGAGCACCTGCTCCCGGTTTGGACCCTTCGTTGAGCACCTGCTCCAGACGGGAGAAAAATAAGGAAAACGATTTTACCTAATCCTAAGTCGCGTGAGATGGAATAAAAAGCCCAGAGCCGCCTGTGTTTTATTATCACGTTCTTCTACAGACTTTTTACGTTTTCCTTTTACAATTTCCTGAACCATAGAGTTTTTACTTGTAAGCTTTTGGGAGAAGAAATCTGCTACACTTTGAGAAGAATTCTGAACCCTATTATCTCTTCTGCGATTTTAATTCATGAATTCCTTTTCATCTATTGCTGTGTTTCTTTCCTCCATGTCTGAGTAGATCTCTTAGCTAGATTAAGGTTTTCAAAGGATTTCATGAGTTAGAGAATTGGATGCAAATAGGGTCTATAATCGATTGTCTTCACCTTTGTTAGACTTAACGCTTAGATTGAACTGGCCATTCAATTTACGTTCATAGGTTAATCTATTCATCAAAAGTGTAATAGGTTGCTAGAACAAACACTGGTGAGCGATTTGTCCTTAGCCAACGACAGTTGAAGTTAAGGCAAATCGTGAACAGATCAAACCTGCTTGTTAATGCTTGTCTGCAATTTTCTAAGTTCAAACGACAGTTTAGAATTTAGGTTGTTAGATAAAGTTATCGAGATCACGACAGTGGATTGATAAGCTTTTATGTTTGAGTTCGAGACATGTATTTAAGTTGTGCCCTGAATAGTCATTTGATTCTCATCTCTGAAACTCCTGCGAATTACCTTGATCTAGTGCTTGTTTTAAATTTGAATTGAAATCGTTTTTAGCTTGTTTTACTTGTCGTTAACGTTACAAACAAACCATCTTTCGTCTTAGCTTTAATTCAATCCTCGCAAAGTCATAGAGTAACGCTGGTCCTCTGGATTCCGAATCCTTTATATTACAACTACATCATTGTTCTATTGCAGTAGAAACTAGGAGTACATCCAGTCTGAATCAATGCTCGTTTGTAATTAATAACATTGCTGTTAAGCATTCTTGGTTTAATAAGTTAGAGGATCCAGAAAAGAGTCTGACGGATGAGGCATTTCTGCATTTACGAAAGCATTCTTAACTATGTAAAACCTCTTTCTGAAATTAAATTTTATAAATATGAATCAATTACAACTATTTTAGGAAGGAGTTCCTAAATGAGCAATGCCTTTTTCTAGCTGATTATTTTTCTTTTCTTTTGCAGTACATTGCATCCATGCTCTTGATGTTGGCAAGGAGAAGGGACAGCCATGCAGCACACTTCCACAACAACCATCTCCCGCTAGCTACACTCATCAATCATCAATATTTTGACTCTCTTTCTGCATGTTATTCGAGCTTCAAAAATCCTAAAAAAGGTCATAATGGTTTCTCTGATGATATTCTTCTAGTTCCAAGCGAGAAAATGACTCCATGAAAAGAATGGGGAACAACTGTGGAAGTGGTGTATGGCGTCACTTTCAAGAGCAATCATTGGATTGGGATGGTGATTAATTTCAAGAAGCGGTATATCACAGTTATAAGGTCTGGGATCTCGTCTGAGAAAAGCGATGTTGTTATGAACTATGTGAGAGACTTTTCAGATATAAAAACTCTACTTTATATCAATGTTGTTTGTCTTTGTTTCTATTTTTTTTGTTATAGGTTGAATAACTCTAATATTTTTTGTGCAGAGATGATTCATGTTCTACTGTGTGTAACTGCCAGTAGAACAGTGATAGATGACATAATTCCTTATAAGGTTCAAGAATTGTTAGGTAAAAGCATTTGGAATACTAATTTTCCTGCAAACTGTGCTTTGTTTGTTTTGAAGATTCTCGAAATGACATTCTATGAGCATTCGAGACATGTCAAAACTTGAAGATGGCACTACACATGACATCAGAATAAGCTTGCTTGCAAGATATACAATGAGGTTTCTCCTACAAAACTTTGAGGAAGCTTGAGGATGTTATATTACTCTAATTTAGGAATACCTTCTTGAATTGGCTCTTCAACATTCGTAATATTTTAATAATAATGTTTTTGGATTCAGCCTTTAGACGTTATGTTTTTGGATGAGGAAGCCTTCTTTATCGGACTGTTTATTGACTGTTTTCAGGGATATTTTTGGGATGAATATATTGTGTTTAGGAACACATGATAATTTTTTTTAGGAATGAATACATCATGTTTCGGAAAGCCACTCTAAAATTTAATAACATCAAATATTTGAATGAGCTCATATATCTAAAATTGATATTGGGCTTTGAATAAGAAAATAAAGGTTCAACATCAATTTCTATGAATGACATAAAGAAAAACAATAAACGCCGAGTCATTTTCAATAGTCATATCTCTGAATTCTTAACGACACGACGATACAAATGCTTTTCAATATTCCTATTAATTACTTCATTGAAAAACTGCAACTTTTCTGTGGTTTACAACAACTCTTCCTCCTCTATAAAAACAGACTTAACTTCCCCTCTTGGTTCACACTTTGCCACAGAAAAAAAAAACCAATTAGATTGTCTTTGTTGTTCCTAAAATTGGCTTCAAGATAATCTCCAGCCAACTGAAACAAATCCAGAGGAAACCAAGTTTGTTCTTCAGCGTGGGTAATTAATTTGAGTTTTGGTTGACTTATACAAGTTCATTCTCCACGAATTTGTCTTCTGCATGAGACTAATGTTTGTTTTTTCAGTTTCATTAAGACTGGTGGCAGAGGACATGTACCATTGGGAGGCGATTCTAATGGGCCTCCAGGTTCATCCTATGAAAAATGTGTTTTCAAACTCGTCATTCATTTTCCTTCAGATTACCCATTCAAACCACCGAAGGTATGATTATTGATTAGGCATGGCTTTTGTACAGACTTTCATTCATGTCATTTAAGTAATAGAATCTGTAAACATATCTCAAGTTTGCTAAAAGATTTTCAAAAGTTTCCTTAAACTTTTGAAATGCCTCATATCTGTATGGTTTTAGTAAGGCATTCCTAAAAGCTATTTCACGTTTCCTAAACAATTTGAATCTGATCGAATTTAGGGTTGTTGATGTGCTTAACAGTATTCATGGTTAATCCATCCACATAAATGGAAATTTTAGGCATGGCTGTTGTATAAACTTTCATTCATGTCATTTTAGTAATGGAATCCTAAATGTATCTCAAGTTTGTTGAAAAAAATTCAAAAAGTTCCTTAAGGAATTTTAGACATGCCTTATACCCATGCTTCATTTTTCCAATTTCGTTCTATTGCTATTCTCTGTGTTTCGTTGCCCAAAAATAGAAGCTTTTCTCAGTTTTTCTTCCCTTTCTTAACTTGTTCTTGTCTAATGCTGAAAACTTTTGCAATACCCATCTTTAATTTTGTAATTAATGGCACCGCTTGCAATTACATTTTTCCTCTTTCAAGATTTTGTTTTTTGATTCATGGTTTTGATGTCTATTTGCTGTGTTAACAATGGAGCAAAGATACAATTGAGTTTTGTTTATAATATTTTTTTTTATTGCTACAAGCTGAATTTCGTGTTTTCTTTTGTGATTAAGTCATTATTACTCTTAACTGAGAGCTTCGTTTTAACTTCTTAGCCTTTCATGAACATGTCTTGTTAGGGGCATAACCAATTGAATTGGATTGGACTAGTACAAGAATGGTTGTCGGATTTCACAAATTTGTTTTACTAAATAAATATTTTTTTCTAGGATTGTGGTTTCTGTTTGATAATTGTTTTAAGAATTGTATATAATGTACATTAGATACGGTTACCTGCAATTTAAAACTTCAATAAATTCACTAGAGATTGTTTTAAGAATCTCATTGTTTTGAGTTTATAAGGTTTGTTTTGAGAATAACTACTTTTTAAGTTGATTTATAAGATTTTATAAGTTGACTTATAAAATTTAATATTCTTTTGTGATTGAGCCATTATTACTCTTAACTAGACTTGTACCTGCGCATACGCGGGAGTTTTGTTTCACATAATATTTTTAAAAATATGTTTGTGTTGATATATATATATATATATATAATTATAAGAATATGATAATTTGTTTGATTGTTTAGTATTAGTTTTTTTTTTTTAAATAAAATCTTTGTAAAACAAATATTTTTTTTTAAAGATTGGAAGTAGGATAAGTAGGAAAATTATTCTACTATTCTAGAAATCATAAACATGATATGAGTAAAAAAGACGTAGATAAAAGCCATATTGTTTTGGTTGAATTGCTTGAAAACATATAATTACCTTTGCTTTTTAATGTTCTCATATTTATGACATGCACAGTTGCCATGATTCTCTGCAATAACCACCCCATACTTCATGTTTCACATTAAAATGCAGTTATAATAATATGATATTTGATCCATAAAAACCGCCAAATCTTTGAATGTAGAGAACGCTATATCTTTACATTCTTTCATACAACAAGCTTAGAAAAAGGTGTTCATGATGTGGATAAGCTAGAAGAAAAAATATCAAGTTAGTATAAAAAATATCAAAAGGTTTTAGACGAATACCAAAAGATTAGAAATGTTGTTTATTTATTTTTGTTAGGAATGTAGAAAGCCTTAATTTTAATGTAACTTAATAGTTATGAACATAAATACATATGAAATAAATATTAAATGGGAAAATTAAGTTAGAAGTAGTGGTATTAATTAGTTTTTTATTTTTATTTTAAAATTTATGATTTATTAATTGAATGAAAGGACAAATGTCTTCTATTCAGATGCTGATGTGGCAGCAAGATGGAGAGAATTCACCTAAAATCATATATATGATTCAGAGCTTCGGTTTGACTTTTTAGCATTTCATGAACAGGTCTTGTTAAAGGCATAACCAATTGAATTGGATTGGATTATTACAAGAATGGTTGTCGGATTTCACAATTTTTTTACTAAATAAAGACTTTTTCTGGGATTGTAGTTTCTGTTTGATAATTGCATTGAGAATTGTTTATAATGTACATTAGATACGGTTACCTGCAATTTAAAACTTCAAAAAATTCACTAGAGATTGCTTTAAAAATCTCCTTGTTTTGAGTTTATAAGGTTTGTTTTGAGAATAACTATTTTTTTTAAGTTGATTTATAAGATTTTATAAGTTGTCTTATAAAAAAAAAACGTTTCACTTCTAAGACCTTATAAAAATGTTTCACTTCTGACATTGTGTTTAACTTTTGATCTCTGACTCATTTTTGCTTTGTGATTGGGATTTCCTATAACTTTTATAAGGTTTGTTTTGAGAATTGCTTTGAGAATTGTTTATAATGGAACATTAGATACGGTTACCTGCAATTTTTAACTTCAATAACTTCACTAGAGATTGCTTTGAGATTCTCCTTGTTTTGAGTTATGGTTTGTTTTGAGAATAACTACTTTGTTAGTTGATTTATAATGTTTTATAAATGGACTAATAAAACCTTATAAATCAACTTAAAAATAAATTTCTAATTGATTTATAAGGTTTTGGATATGGATTTTTCTAACTGTGAAAATGAAATTATAGGCACAATGGCTATATACATGATGGGGCAGGAACAAAATTTCAAAAGTTTGTGTCATATCGCTACATTTCTTTCTTGGGATTTATATCCAAGAATCAGAACCCGTATTGAAGCTACATGTTTTAGATACTTTTTAAGTATTCCCAAGATGGTACATAGGCTTAATATGAAGCTCATCACCGCTCTAGCTAAGTTTTATGACTTCGAACAAAATGCTTTTGCTTTTGGAGAGAGGAATAGGAGTATGTTTTATGTAGATATCGGACTTGAAGATATCTTATATAGTACTGGACTCCCCATTGATGGGTTACATGTATTTAATTTGAATTTGTATTTCATTAATACCTTTTTTATTGTTGATTTTTATGCTTAATCTGAATTCAGGTATCCGGATTTGAGGATGAATATCCCTGATGTACAATTGATCATGATAACCTAAAAGTAACAGAAGAGGAGGTTCACAGCTTGCTTTATCAAAAGAGAGGACAAGCCTCTTTAACCATCGATCTCAAGAAGCTGCAATCTAGATTTGAAAAGGTGCCAGATGATGCGATTGATTTGATGCCTTATCTAAAGACATATCTTTTCTTTTTGGTGGGGAGTTTGTTTTTTGCAAAAACAACAGAAGATATATCTCCTATATATCTACCATTACTTGGAGAATCAGTCAACGACTATGCTTGGAGAGCAGCGACGTTTGCATTCATTTAGCATGACTTGGTATCAATGAGGGAAGATCTTACGAAGGGTAGGACCACAAGCTTCCCTGGTTTTGGGTATGCTTTGATGGTAAGGTCTAAAACCCAGTAAAACAAAATTTTTTATCAAAACATTAATAGCCACTTTGTTACATAATAATGTTTACTGCCATTTGTTTTTTATTTTTTCGTTGTAGATATTTGCAGTGGAACGATTTCTCTGCTTACGCGAAGCATTATGTATTGATTCTCTATCTTCTGGGTTTCCTCTGCTTTCAGGGTGGTTAAATCTATTTCCTAAAGGAAATGATAAGAACAGCTTTGTGAATCATTTCCAAAATAAGCTTGACAACATGATGGAAAATCAGGTAATACTTCTTTATGAATACATAAACTGCTTATATATGGTTATAATTCTCGTTGTAAACTCAATACTTGATTATATATTCACAGATTACATGGCAACCTTATAAACTTGTTGGCTGTAACCTTGAATTGCATGATAAGTACAAAGATCATATTTCTATGATATACTCGTGCACAGCTTGTATTTGCTTTTAATGTGGTCGCATATAATTTCCCTCATACGTTCTTTTAAGCAACTGGGACTGGCGGGAGGGTGTGCATACTTAATGAGATGCCCAAATATGAAAGATACGTCCCCAAATTATCACTTTACCAATAACATAAAATAAAGGATTAGAAAAAAATGGGGTTTATATGCTAAAATGAATGAATACTTGGGACAAACGACATGACTAT